TGGCGAGGACCCACTGTTTTTTTATGGTGACAAAAACCCTGTCCCCATTGGAGACATTGGCAATARATTGGCACTAATATCGGTATCGGCTGATATGAGTCAATTTTTAAAATATCGGTATTAGTCTGATATGTAAAACTGGGCCYAWATTAACGTCCGATATTGATTTCCCACTCTTTAGCTTTGTGTTTCAGTTTTGGGAAGGGAGACAGCTGGTTGAGTGGKATCTATTTGATCATGATAGTGATACTGACGTTGTGTAGCCAGGAATAACTGAAGTAGGACGCCATGTCAGAGGTCTGGTCATTTATTTACGGTATCAAAAAAGACCAAAGTGTGTTTGTGCATGTATGTATTAGGGCTGTAGCCATACACTAATCTCACGATACGATATTCAATATTCTGATCATGATACAATATATATCACGATATTCAGCGAACGATACGATTTGATTTTCTGAACAATTTTAAGAGGGACGGAGTGATTTTGGTGACGTTTTGAGACTGTTCCATAGACTTGGATTGAGTTAATTGAACTGAAAAACTGATTAAAAGTACCAACTACACAATACCTGGCTCTGATTGGACAGAGACTTTCAGTCTACAGCTGGACAAAATTAATCAAAGATGCAGTGAGAAAAATAGTTTCCTTTAATAGAAACAGTGCAAACAGTAGCTCACAAGCCTAAAATATATTTGGTTCCATCCAGGTAACTTTGGCAAAAAGAGAGCAAATGTTCCCAAACCTTCAGGATTTGTTGTTTATGATGAGAGGATTTAACACAGTTAAAGACTTGGAGGTAAATTATTTTGTTCCCATGTTACAGAGGGGGTACAGATTATTTTAAACAACTGAAATATTTGGTTCTTGTATCAGCAATAAAAAAAAAAATATAAATACACACAATGTGTTGGGAAACAGTGTTTGGTGGCTGACTGATAGATAGTGAGGCTAAAGAAAACATGAGAAAAGTTGGAAAAGGACTGATAACGACTCATTCTGTGATTTAAAAAAGGCCAGGTTTTTATTTATTTATTCATTTTAGAGTTTTTTTTATCAGCATCTGATGATTAAACTGAAAGTAACCTTGACAAGATTATGTGAGTCCTTTTAACGAGAAATTCATCAGAAGTGCTGCAAAAATGGTCAGATCTGCCTCTCTGGCAGATCTTTGTGGTGGCACGATTTACCAAGAATGCAGAAACACGTTGGAATAAATGCACAGAAAGTCTGCGTGTATGGT